CAAGAGGACATAACAATAATAAATATCTATGCACCAAATAAAAGACCAGCAAAATACATAAAACAAACATTAACAAAACTGAAAAAGGAAATTGACAACACTACTATAGTGCTGGGAGACCTCAATACACCCCTCTCAAGAAAAGATTAGAACTACCAGAAAAAAACTCAACAGAGATACTGAAGAATTAAATCACACAATAAAAGTTAAGGCCCCAGAAATTGATGGGATACCAATTGACTTGTTTGAATTAAGAAGTCCAGCCCTAGATGCTCTTATCAGTCTATGCCAGGAAATTTGGAGGACAGCTGTCTGGCCAATGGATTGGAAGAGGTCCATATTTGTTCCCATTTCCAAGATAGGCAGTCCAGAATGTAGAAACTAGCAAACAGTATCATTAATATCACGTGGAAGACAATATTGCTGAAGATCATTTAAAAATGACTAGAACAGTACAGAGATAGGGAATTACCAGAAGTTCAGGCAGGATTTAGAAAAGGCCGTGGCACCAGGAATGTCATTGCTGTTGGATCCTGGCTGAAAGTAAAGAATACCAGAAGAATGTCTTATTTGACTATGTGGATCATAAGTTATTGAGAACATTGAGAAGAATGGGGATTCCAGAGCACTTAACTGTGCTCCTGCAAAACCTAAACCAATAGGTTACTGTGTGAACAGTGCAAGGGAACCCTACATGTTTTAAAATTAAGAGGAGAGTGAATCAGGGTTGTGTTCTTTCCCAATACCTATTCAGTCTGTGTGCTGAGTAAATTATTTGAGAAGCTGGACTTTATGAAAAGAGAATGTGGCATCAAGATTGGAGGAAGACTTATCAATAACCTGAGTTATGCAGATGATACAACCTTGTTTTCTGAAAGTGAGGAGGACTTGAAAGAGTTGTTACAGAAGATCAAAGAATACAGCCTTCAGTATGAATTGTATCTCAACATCAAGAAGACAAAAAATTCTGATCACTGGACCTCTAGGCAACATCATGATAGATGGAGAAAAAATTGAAACTGTCAACAACTTCATCTTACTTGGATCCACGCTCAACACCCTTGGTACCAGCAGTCAGGAGACATACTGCACTTGGAAAGTCTGCCATCAAGGACCTCTCCAAATTACTGAGCAGTAATGATGTCCGTTTGAGGACGAAAATGCGTATGATTCAGGCCATGGTCTTTCTGATCACTTGCTATACAACTGAGAGCTGGATAATGAATAAGGATGACAGAAGAATTGCCTTTGAGCTGTGGTGGTAGAGAAGAGTACTGTACATCCCATAGACGGCCAAAAGAACGAACAAATTGCATCTTGGATAAAGTGTTCCTTGGAGGCAAAGATTAGATAAAGTTTCACCTCACATACTTCCGGCATGTTGCTAGAAGAAGGACATTACACTTGGAAAACCAGAGGGGTCAGCGAAAGAGAGGAAAACCCTTAACCAGGTGGAATGACACAGTGACTGCCACAGTGGGCTCTAGTAGGTCAGGAAGTGTGGGAATGGCACAGGATAGGATAGGATTCAGGCCTCTTGTTCATAGGGTCACTATGGGTCATACTCAACCTGGTGGCATTTAACAACAATATTGCTGATGAGTCAGAATCTACTTATAACTGACGACCCTGCAGCAGCTTTTCAGAGGCTGTAAGTCACACAGAAGGAGATTGCCCATCTTTCTCCTGCAGAGCAGCTGGTAGATTCAAACACTTGCCTTTGGGTTGATAGACGGCTCCTTACCCATTAGGCCACCAGAGCTCCAGAACTACATACTTTTTCATGTATTAATTGCTCCTTACTTCAAAGCAGATTCTCAGTGGATTTGCACAGCAGCTCTCTTGAAATCTTGCTGCCAGGCTTACTTGTCCTAAATTGCTTCTAAAACAACAGTCTTCAGTACCAACATGTTACTTTACATGGAGTGGAATACTTGTATAGCTTTTTCTTAGCTTCTTCCTACAGGTTGTATCTAATATATCAGTTCTAAAAAGCCAAAGAAACATATTTTTATAGAGAAGATACCTTTTTTTAAAAAAAGAAGGATCAGGAGAGTTAAAATTTAGAAGAGGTTTTTTACTTCATAGTAACAGTCTCTCCGAAGGCATGTTTGTGAAGTTGATTTTGTATGTAATACAGAATTCCTCTGGGATTAGTGGTTTAAATCCGTATCAGCACAGTGAATCCAGCCCTCAGGAGGAGCAGTGTTTTCCAGTGAGTTTCAGAGGATGTGTTTGCTG